ATTGGAGTGGAGAGATGAAAGACTATGAAATGGAGAAAAACAGAAAGGGGAGGAGGAAGAAAAGAAAAGAATGAATAAATAAGAATCAGAAAGGTTAAAGAACCGCAGAGTTCCCAGGGATCCCACCAGTGCAGCTATGAGGTCTGGGGAAGTCGCTCTCAGGGGTTGCAGTACAGCCTGGCTAGAAGGCGTAGAGGTATACAGTGCCAGGTATTCGGGGAACAGAAAGAAGAGGAAGATATAGAGAGGTGAGAATCTGAGCAATGAAGAAAGACAAAAAGGGTAAAAGAGGAAAAAGAAAAAACAAATTTAAAAAACAACAACAAAAAAAAAGGCCCCCAAAGAAACAGAAAAAAAAAAAAAAAAACAACGTAAAAAGAAATCCTCTCAGGGATCCCTCTGCATGTCTGTGGAAGCTGAAACGGAGTCTCCCTGCCACGCAGTTCGGCCTGGCCAGAAAGGGCTCCCAACTCAAGAAAAGGAAAAGAAAACAAACAATTCAAAACAAACAAACGAACAAAAGCCCCGGGATCCCACCAGCGCGGCAGCCCAAACTGGGAAGCAGCTCCACACTCAAACGGAGCTCCGCAGCCCCTCAGGAAGAAGCAAAGATGGCGCACCGAGCCAGGTACTTGAGCGAAGGGAGGGGGAGGTGGCGAGAGGCAAGTAAGAAGTCAGAAGAAGCAGAAAAAAAAAAAGCAACCCTAGCAGCCAACAGATGGCACTCAGAGAGCCAGCTAGTGCGGGCTGGTGTTTCTGGACAAGAGACTGTGTCCATGAGAGGCAGAGGGGGCTGAGTGTGGGTGAAGAAGGGTAGAAAGTGGGAAAGTGTATATGACAAATTACCGGAGCTCTACAGCCCCTCAGGAAGAAGCAAAGATGGTGCACGGAGCAAGGTACTTGAGCTAAAGGAGGGGGAGGTGGGGAGAGACAAGGAAGAAATAAAAAGAAGCGGAAAGAAAGCAACAGCAGCAGCCAACAAATGGCACTCAAAGAGCCACCTGTTTGGGTGTGTGGAATCCAAGCAGCCGCTGCTTCCTGATCAAGAGACTGTGGCCGTGGGAAGTAGAGGAGGCCAAGTCGGGGTGAAGAAGGGTGCAGGGTGGGAAAGCGTATATCACCAATTACTGGTTATTTTGTCTCCCGCTGGAAGCTCTGTGAGGCTGCTTTCTCGTACCCCGTTTGCTGGTCTCCAATAGGAGTCCAAGATGGAGGATCTGCGCTGCGTTAACTGGTAGGGGACCTCTGCATGAATCTCTCCTCGCTCTCCATTCTCCGTCAGTTTTCTCATTCCATTTGGTGCTTGGCTGAGTTCTTTATCTCTTCATTTAATGTTTTAGGGTTTCAGGATTGTTGTATTCTCTGTTCGGCTTAGTTTTTCAGATCTTTGCTGTGGAGGGACGGCATGGTGCTTCTGCCTAGAGTGCCATTTTGCCGGAACTCCTCAGTAGATACTTTTGAGGTAAAGAAAGGAAACTAAGATTGGTTAAGGGCATTCTCTGCTGTTCCAGGTGATGAACTTCTTAGTTGGGGGTCGTTCCCAAAAGCCACCTGGAGCTGCAGCTTGCTTCACTTATTCTACACGGGTCTGCTGAGCACCCATTCTGTGCTTGGAATGGAGGATGCCGGACAAGCATGGTCGCTTCCCACAGGAGCTTAGAGGTTTCTGTAATTGGCTGCTATCTCTTTTAGTGCCAGTCATACCCATGGGGAAGTACAGGTTGCTATAGACTTTTGAAGCAGGACTTCCCACCTGGTGGGAGTGGAGGTGGTGTCAGGGAGGGCGTCCAGAGACAGCTTTCAGGGCTTTGCTCCTGCACCCACACAGGTGTGTCCCCCGCTCCTGCAGACCTCCTCTCTTGCCGCTCCAGCACTCCCACTGTCCCCATGGCTGATTATGCAGTCCCTGCAAACCAAGGGCGTCAGCCCCAAATGGTATTTCTCAAACCTAAGGGAAACTTACTTCAAGAGAATTGAGTTGCTTTCCTGCCCCAAATTCTATACTGAGAGAGATGCCCCGATGCAGTGTCAGTTAAGCTCTAAATTTTCCAGGGAGACTGAAAAGGGGACTTTGGATCCAAATGAATCTGAATTTGAATCCCAGCTCGGACACTTTCTGTTTTAGACCTTGGGAACATCACTTAACCTCTGGGCATCACTTTGGAAAATAGGATTGTTCCCATCTGATTGGGTTGTGTGTAAGGATGACTAGAAACACTTTGCAGTAGGATGGCCCTCTTAGACTTACAGGCGAGATAAAGCCAGATGGACTTTTCAGGGATGGAAATAAAAAGACAGAAGGCAGAACACACACAGGAGCTGGCAACCTGGGGCTGCCTTGTACAAGTAGAGCGGTCAGTTAAGGATCTAGGGAGGCATTGTAGCTGTTTCCATATGTCCTGCCATGCTCCAACCCAGCTTACATCTGGATATTAACGTTCAGAGAGGTTGGCAGGACAGCACTAATTTCATCCTGAGAATTACTAGGGCTTCCTTTCGCCTGCCGGGGTTTATCTCCTCATGCCCAATCTGTTTCTTTCCTTTTCTCTTTTCCTTCTGGAGCAGGACAATAGCTGGAATCCTGAACATTAGAAAAAAGCTGTAATTAGCTTTTTCCCCAAATATTTTATTACAAAAATTTTCCAGCATTCACAAAAGTGGAAAAAATAGTATGGTGAACATCTGTATAGCCACCACCTGGATTCCACAGTTAACATTTTCCTATACTGGCCTACAGCTTCATTGATGGGTGCATTTCAAAGTAAATTGCAGACATCACAGCACTTCACGGGGCTGGTTTTGAAGTGATGATTTGATGGGCAGCGTGGGTTCCTGGGAGCCGCCTGAAGTTGTTTATCTTGGCGCACAGTCAGGCTTTAAAAGCACTTGATCCAGGCCTTGCCCTACCTGTGTGATGTCCCTGCTGCTGACCCAGCACGTGGCCCAGGACTGAAGAGGGGCGCAGGGTCCTGCCCACACAGTGCCCTGCATGCCAAAACACAGACACACACACACAGTGTAGAATCATTGTGTGTATGCTGTCACACACACACAGTGTAGAATCATTGTGTGTATGCTGTCACACACACAGTGTAGAATCATTGTGTGTACGCTGTCACACACAGTGTAGAATCATTGTGTGTATGCTGTCACACACGGTGTAGAATCATTGTGTGTATGCTGTCACGCAGTGTAGAATCATTGTGTGTATGGTGTCACACGCAGTGTAGAATCATTGTGTGTATGCTGTCACACACAGTGTAGAATCAGTGTGTATGCTGTCACACACAGTGTAGAATCATTGTGTATGCTGTCACACACAGTGTAGAATCATTGTGTATGCTGTCACACACACACACACAGTGTAGAATCATTGTATGCTGTCACACACAGTGTAGAATCGTGTGTATGCTGTCACACACACACAGTGTAAATCATTGTGTGTATGCTGCCACACACACACACACACACACACACACACACACACACATGCACGCACACAGTGTAGAATCATTGTGTGTATGCTGTTTTGTACCCTGCTTCTTATTTTTTGTTTGGTCATCTAATATATTCTTTACCACTTTGCCGTGTTAAACGTTTTTTCAAAAACCTGGTTTTTAGGGGCTGTATCATTGTATAGCAACAACTACTGCAACAGTATAGATAAATCTCATAAATACAGTGTTGATCAAAAGAACCCCGGTACAAAAGGTGATATGATCATGTACTCTGTGTATATATTGTGAATGAATAGTTGTTTAATTCTGTTTTGTGATATGCAGTAACATCTCCAACTAGCTCTGAGAATCCTCAGATTAACTCCTGTCTGCTTTTGGTCTGTGGATACGTTTGCTGGTAATAAAGCATTACGCTGTTTGAGGCCCCACGCAGCGCAGTGCCCGCCATGCCGGGGTTGGTGCCCTAACGTGATATTCTTTCTTACACAGAGCCAAGATGACTGTCCTCTCTAAGGAATATGGCTTCGTGCTTCTAACTGGTGCCGCCAGCTTCATAATGGTAACTCATCTAGCCATCAATGTCTCTAAGGCCCGCAAGAAGTACAAGGTGGAGGTGAGTGGGAGCACACGCCGCTGTTTTGTAGGCTTGTCTGGGGCCACCGGCTTGGAGGGAGAGCTGAGTAGCTAGTTCTCAGCCGTGGCAATTTAAGAACTGTACCTATAAGAAACTCTGTCCTTTTGTGGCAGAAAAGAGGCAAGAAATACAGGCCCTGCTGGGAGATAGTTCTGAGGTACCTCTGGGTGGGTTTGAACTGCCAGCCTTTTGGTTAGTAGTTAGCACTTAACCATTTGCACCACCCAGGGACTTCTATAGAAAGGCAAGGCATGCTGGAATCACAGCGGTGTTTTTTGGCTAGAGCTATTTGCTAGGAAGGGTGGTATTTTCTGAAGAGGGTTAAGTAGCAACATTGTTTCCTGGTGTATCACTCAGAAAGGGATTTCTTAAGCTGATTTTCCTGTTTTCCAACTACAGAAGAATACATGGTACTGAGGTTTGGCCTGGGCTTGGATGTGAGGCACAGGGAGGAGGTCTATCAATACTTCCTTTAGTTCTAGCTTCTCTAGAAGGGATAATTACTGAAGTTGTCCCTGGTGAGCAATTTTAATTGTCTATTTCTATTTAGCAACTTATAATTAGACTCCCTAACCTCTTTTAAAGTTTTCATAATGCAGTTTCCTTTTTTTTTTTTTTTTAATGGACACTTAGACATTTAAATTCTCACACATTCAATTTCTCTTCTCCCATTAATGGAAATCTTTACAAAGATGTATCTGATGACTCTTGGGATGGAGCTATTTCCCTGTGGGGTCTTTGTAATGCATCTAAACATCAGTGAACAGCCTTGAGTTTGGCCAAGCTGCCTCTGTTCCTTGCCCAGCTAACAGCAGAGACATGCATTCTTTACTCCACGACCACCAGTGACCACCACCACCAACTGCTGTCGAGTCGATTCTGACTCACAGTGTTTTTCGGAGTAAAACTGTGCTCCATGGAGTTTTCAATGGCTGATTTTTCAGAAATAGATCACCGGGCCTTTCTTCTTAAGTGCCTCTGGTGGACTTGAACCTCCAACCTTTCGGTTATAACGTTCTTATTTTACTGGATATTTAATAAGAACTGATCAAATCTTTTTCTGAGTATTGAGACCCTTGTCACTGTAAATATTTAAGCAGAAATTGAACTGATCATCTAGCAATGACACCATAGAAGATGCAGGTTGATTCTAACTCAACACTGAATGTTTCTCGACCATCTTAACTAACGATATGCACTTGGATTTAACAGTATCCTACCATGTACAGCACGGACCCAGAAAATGGGCACCTCTTCAACTGCATCCAGCGAGCCCACCAGAACACGTGAGTGCTGGCCCTGCTGGCTACCAAAGACATCTGCAGAGTGGGTGTTTCATGAGCACTGCATCCTGCCCAGCAGCTCAGCATCTGGGCTCTGTATTTGCTGAGTAACAGCAATATGACAGTCACAGGCACTTTGTTAAAACTGTAATAAGAAATTATGCACGTGAACAGATTTTAATTAAGCAAAAATGAGTTTTCAGAATGGTGGGATTTGGGGTAATCTTTTCAAAAATGTCTTTTAATGTTGCATTGCCCTTCGCTATTTGTAGCATGCCCTGTAAACTGCTGGGGAATCTCGTCGCCCTAGGGCATGTAGCGGTTTTGAGGTCTTTAAGGAAACCCACTCCGATTTGCTAAGACCATCCTCATCCGTTTAGTAGAGTCGAGGTCCCTTCACTCAGGCATTCTGAATTACCTCTAGTCACATGCAGAGCAAGATGTTGGATCATTGTGGCCTGGTCTTCACCCACCAATCAATGTTTATTTTACTCTTGAGTTCTAACTTGGCAAGTGAGAATGTAAAGGGCTCTTAGTTTTGTGTACCTACCACTGCTACCAATTGCCATCATGTCAATTCCAACTCATGGTGATCCCATGTGTGTCAGAGTAGAACTGTGCTCCATAGAGTGTTCAGTGGCTGATTTTTGGGAAGTAGATCTCCAGGCCTTTCTTCCAAGTTGCCTCTTGCTGGACTCAAACTTCCAGCCTTTCAGTTAGCAGCCAAGTGCATTAACAGTTTGTGCTCCTTAGTTCTACATAACAAAACCAAACCCATTGCCATTGAGTGGATTCCAACTCAGCGATCCTACAAGACATAGTATAACTACCCCACAGAGTTTCCAAGGCACTAATCTTTATGGAAGCAGACTGCCACATCTTTCTCCTGCTGAGCCAGTGGCATCACTAGGGGAGTGCAGACTGTACCCCCTGACACTGTGAGAGGGTGACACCAAAATGACCCCAGTGTCTGTGGTGGCAGCCCCCCCACCCCTTCACCTGCCAGTCAGGGTGTGTGTGGCCCAGCTGCAGCACCCGCCACTGGGTGGACAGAAGAGTCTCCACCTTGGCCAATGGGAGAAGGGAGGAGCTGCGGCGAGCCACAGGGGGATAGCGCTGTGCAGCAGGGTGCTCCGCCATGGGTGGAGCAGGGTGGGGCCGCTGTGGGGGGTGGTGGTGACACCATGAGTTACCACATTGGGTGACACCAACCTAGTGACGCCACTGCACAGAGCAGCTGGAGGTTCAAACCCGTTAGCAGCCCAGAGCTTATCACTGAGCCACTAGTGCTCCTCTTCTACATATACCAAAAAAAAAAAACCAAACTCGTTGCCGTTGAGTCGACTGACTCATAGCAACCCTACAGGACAGAACAGAACTGCCTCATAGGGTTTCCAAGGAGCACCTGGTGGATTCAAATTGCTAACCTTTTAGTTAGCAGCTGAACTCTTAACCACTGCCTTAGGCATACTTAAATGGGGCATTTTTTTAAAAAAGTTTCTTTCTGTCTATTCCAGGTTGGAAGTGTATCCTTCCTTCTTATTTTTTCTAGCTGTTGGAGGTGTTTACCACCCGGTAAGTTTTCCCACTGAGTTTTCATCTATTTGACTTCAGTTCATTGAGCTACTGTCAGGGAGGAAGGAAGGAAATGAACATTAAGGACCATTTTTAATGTCTAGGTACCACATATTCAACAGGATTTCATTCAGTTTCTTCTTACAAAGTTCTCTAAAGTAGGTAAAATGTTCTCATTTTCACAGGTAAAGAAAGCCTCTTGGATATTCTGTAACTTTCACGAGGTCAGATAGCTTTAGAGTAGAAAATCTGTATTTAAATTCAGGGCTGTCTGATCCCAGGAAGTTCATGTCTGTAAGAGTTTTCATTTGCCACATGCATTCATTCGTGCGGCAAGCATTCACTGATCACCTGGGTTTACAGCAGTGAACACAACAAAGACACCTGGTCACGTGGAACCTGCCTTTTAGTTAGGGGACATGGGCAAACAACCGCATAAACAAATTATGTAGAATGTTTAAAAAAAAAAAAAAAAAAAACCCTTTGGTGTCAGTTACAACTCATAGTGACCCTATAGGGTTTCCAAGGCTGTAAATCTTTACGGAAGCAGCCTCCACATCTTTCTCCCGTGATGTAGTATGTTAGATGGCGGTAAGTGCCACGGAGGAAAACAGAGCAGGGAAGAGGGACTAGGGAGCACTGGGGGGGGGGGGGACAGTTTTAAATACAGTGGCTAGGAAGGGCCTTGCTGAGAAGGTGGCAATTAAGCAAAACTTAAAGGTAAGGAAGCAGGTGCTGCAGGTTTCTGCAGACGTTTTCTAGGCGGAAGAGCAAAGACAAAGGCCCTGAGGCAGGAGCTTGCCTGGCCTGTTTGGCCAACAGTGGAAAGGCCAGCTGGGCCTCAGTGGAGTGAGGGGGCAGAGAGCAGGAGATGAGGGCATCACCTAAATCGAAGTTAGGCATCATCTGGTGTCCACCCCACCCCGTCGGTCCCCCTTCCCCAGATCATGTTTCTCCTGCTTAGTTCTTAAAACTACTCTAAAAATGACTCTGAGGACAAGTACCTAACCATCATTCCTAGGGGGACAGTAATTATGCAGCGTTATAGTAAGGAACGGCCTGGCAGAGACTATAGAGTTTGTCAATAATGACTTAAAGGACTGGGGTTTTTAGTTATTTTGTACTCCTACTGATACTTAACTTTACCCAAAATCAACTAAACAGACAAAAATCCTTAAATAGTAACTTTACCACCGATACCACTACTAAATTGGAAAGGCCCTTGGGGAAGGTGATGCATCATCTTTCACGTTCTCACACACCCTCTTACTCCTTTCGACAAAATGGGTAACCCAAGATGGTGCCCAAATGGGAGGTTTCTTCATTGCGTAAGTTTCTGCTCCCTCTTCTCAAGGGTGCTGGGAACAGGGAGCCTTCTGCCCAGTCTGCACAGCCGAGGTTCACAGGATGATACACTCCCAGTCTTTTCTAGGGGGACCCACACCTGTGTGCAGGCTACAGCAAGCTGCTTAGAGCCCTTTCCAGGGCAGCTTCACTGGAGATAATGCAACAGACAGCAGCTGGGGTGGCAGTACATCTCATGTTTGGGTTCCCCCTGGTCTTGACTGTTGGTCAGTTTCCTTCTCGGCTTCCCATAGGCCCCAGGCTGGCCTCTCCTCTTGGGCAGTAGTGCTTTGTGTTGCCCAGGACAAGTCAGGGTTCCTTCCATCCCACCCTCTAGAAGACCAGTCCTCTGTTCCCAGGCCCGTGAAGAATTGCAGATCTTTGATTTTCCTGACTAGAACAGATAACTTAATTGGACCTTAACTTTGGCAGGGAGTATTTTACCGTATCCATGAAATTAATTAACTTTTGGCTAAAACATTGTGTAATCAACTGTAGGTGTTAGTAAAGGTTTCCTTGTTTCTTGAATGCAGATACTAACATAGTCCTTTTATTTTAGCGTATAGTTTCTGGTTTGGGCTTGGCTTGGATTGTTGGACGAGTTCTTTATGCTTATGGCTATTACACAGGAGGTAAGTACATAGTGACAGCTACCAAGAAAACACATTTAAAATCTTACACTACCGTATTTTTCTTTTTAGCAGGGCTTTGAGGAAGGGGTAAAATAGCTTGATATTTAGGTGAAAGGTCTATTATTTTCTTTCTTTTATTAACCTTTGAATAGAACAAAAATAATTTTTATTGAGCATTTTCTATGTGACAATTGCTGTTCTAAAAACTTTGCATATGCTATTCTTACATTTCTATGATATAGATAGTATTATCCCATTTTATAGATGAGGAAACTGGGGCTTAGAAAGATTAGGGCTCAAGGTCACAGAGCCACTTAATATAAACTAGTAGGCAAGCATTTCAACCCAGGCAGTCTGACTCCAGAGCCGTTGCTCCTAACCACTGTGTTGTTGTTAGTGGCCCTGGAGTCAATTCTGACTCATGGCGACCCCATGTGTGCAGAATAGAACTGCTCCATAGGATTTTCAAGGCTGTGACCCTTTGGAAGCAGATGTCCAGGCCTGTCTTCCCAGGAGCCTCTGAGTGGGTTTAGACTGCCAACTTGCTAGTACTTGAGCGCTTAACTGTTTGCGCCTCCGAGACACTTACCTAACGACTATTAAGTGGCATGTTCACCAGAGAGAAGGCGGAACTCTTTTTTTAGCTATATATTCTTCATCGAAGAAGAGGTAAACACTCCCTTCTGAAGGGTCCCAGAACAGAGTTGCTCTAATTATTATCCCCTAATTGTCTAAGGACCAGCAGTACTATTGGGCAAATTACTTTGCATGCAGTACCTGACACATGGACAGCTTTACGTTAGAGTTGACTAACCAGTTAAGGCTGGGCTTGAGTATTGAAGGCATCATCATTCTAGAGCATCTCCGGTGACTTCTGCTCTTTCTGCTTTTTCAGAACCACGCAAGCGGAATCGAGGAGGCGTGTCGTTCATTGCCCTCATTGCCTTGATGGGCACAACTGTGTGTTCTGCTTTCCAGCATCTCGGCTGGGTTAAAACTGGCTTGGGCAGTGGGTCCCAACACTGCCATTAAAGAATTATAGGGGTTTAAAAACTCTCATTTGTTTTGAATGACTTAATTTCCAATTTTGTTTTTCTAAATAGAATAAAACCTATCTGGTGTCATCCTCATACCTAAACCTCCTGACTATATAACTTCTTTTTTATTTATTTTTTTGAGTCTCTACCTAAACATGAGCGGCCTGTCCCTACTACACGAGCAAGAAGACACCCATGTTGAGTACTCCTCACCCTGCTGGGTATGTGAAGGTGGGAAAAAGTCTTATGTGTGGTAGTTACGTTCACACTTATGCCACAATGGTAAGAAACGGGGGTTCAGAGAAGGAAAATCTTTTAGTTACAGTTAGGGGATAAAATTATCATTTGCTACTAATACGTAGGATAACAGGAGTTTTTTAAATCTCTGTAGACGAAAGCAATAGGCTAAATTTAAGATGAAACTTGGAGATGAAGGTAACTTCTCCCTTTGGACACAAGGACCCAGTCACAGGGAAGTCACAAATAGGGAAGGATTGCTTACGACAAACATGAGAGACTTGGAGAACAACGCAAGTTGGCACGTGAGATAGCGGCTCCAAAAGCTAATGTGGCCGTAACTGTGTTAACAGAAGTACAGTGTCTAGACCTAGGTGGTCCAGTACAGTAGTCATTAGCTACATGTGGCTATTTAATTTTAAATTAACAAAATTTAAATAAATCAATTCTTCATTCACACAGTGACCACATTTGAAGTGCTCAGTAGCCTGTAAGGATTACCATACCGTATCTGTTGCCGTCAAGTCAATTCCGACTCATAGTGACCCTAAAGAACAGAGTAGAACTGCCCCATAGGGTTTCCAAGGAGCGCCTGGTGGATTCAAACTGTTGACCTTTTGGTTAGCAGTCATAGCTTTTAACTGCTACACCACCAGGGTTTCCAAACCAAAACCCATTGCCATAGAGTCGAGTACAGAGCAGAACTGCGTAGGGTTTCCAAGGAGCAGCTAGTGGATTTGAACTCTCAACTTTTTGATTAGCGGCCAAGCTCTTAAGCACAACACCAACAGGGCAAATGCCTCTGTAAGGGGATTACAGATGGCATTGACCCCACGTCTGACTGTAAAATCCAGGCTTTTCCCATCTTGCCACTCTACGGCTTAAGAGAGATGAGGCATTTACAGACAGGTGCTGTGCTCTGCCCCGAAGAGGGGGGACCCTGGCCAGATGACCACCTGGAGCTCTCGGGCATCTAATGAGACAGACAGACTAGATCAGTGTACACTCCAGTGTGTGTCCACGAGCAATTTCCCTACTGTAGGGCAAAATACAAAAAATGACTTTTCCATAAAGCACTAACTGAAACTTTTGACATTAAAATGCCCTTTTACAAAATAATGGTGATGATGGTGGTTTTGTGTGTGTGGGGGGGGGAGGGGGTGTTTGTTTTTTTTGGTCCTGACTTGAAAAAATAATTAAAAATTGTAATCAGCTCATTTTTTAGTTAGTTTTGTGGTGGGGTTTTGGTTAGGTTTTCTGCATATAAGAAATGCACATAAAGGGAACGGAGAGCTCGTTAGGGTTTCCTTTCTCATTGTACAGATCACAGGCGTCAGGGAAGACTTGGAGATGGTTGTTCACCTTTAAGTCTTAACAGGATACACTTTTCAAAGTGATATGATCAGTCTTTGTCATTTTGCTTTTACAGAATGGGCTCAGATCAAGTCTTACAAGGAACCCCAATACATACAGAGTTCTGTGGTTGAAGGGGGGACCCAGAATTCTGCCTTTTCAATTTCCTGGTTCTCCCACTTACAGCACCTCCAGGGAACCCTAGAGCTTGGCAGAATGCAGTTTGTAAGCCGCTGCTACAGAGAATAAGCCTGTCTGACGAGCTACAGTTTGTTAACTTCCTTTGTCTAGTAGAGCAAGTACTGACACAAGTACTTCCACCATGAACTGCTAATTCACTGGCATTTCAAACAGTCAGTTGATCTCCACAGGGAAACACCTTCTAAATTGTTATAGATTTATTGATACTATACATGTCCCCACCTGCAGGCAGCTGTGTGCCCTTGGGCAAGTTTATTAACCCCCTTACCCCTCAGTCTGCCCAGCTGTAAACTGAGGATAGTGATGATACTTACCTATAACGTTCTTGAGGATCAAGTGAGATGATGCATGTGCAGTGCCTAGCATGGTGCTTCCGAGGCCATGGCAAAGGCTGGGCTCAGGGTCCAGCACAAGGTGTGGTAGCACTGGAGTCGCCTGCTGGTGTAACTTCAGAAGCACCACTTGATCAAGTCAGCAACCAGGTTACCTTCTTTGCTGTAAGGAACCCAGAGGTGGCCCTGCTCCCCTTTTCATCCTGAACAGCACTTGCCTCCAAGGATTCTCTCTCAGCTCTACTGGAAACCGAGCAGTCTCAGTTCCTTACCCCTTAAGCAGCACTGTCCAACAGAACTTTCTGCCATGATACAAATGCTCTACATCTGCACTGTCCAATACAGTAACCACTGCCCATGTGTAGCTATTTAGTACTTGAAATGTGGCTAAAGTGACGAAGGAGCTAAATTTTTTATTTAAACAGCCACACGTGGCTAGTGGCTACTGTATTTGGCTAGCACAGCTCTAAAGCAGTGGTTCTCAACCGTGGCTGCCCATTAAATTCACCTGGGGAGCTTTTAAGACTCCAGGTAACTAGGCCATACCACAGAGGAATGGAATTAAAATCTCAGTATCTTCAAAGCCCGGTACAGGCAGTCCCCCAGGTTACGAACAAGATCCGTTCCTGTGTCTTTAAGTCAAATTATGTAGGTAAGTTGAAACAGGTGCATACAGTTCTTATTTAGCCTTATTTTAGTGCAAGAAAAGGCTCAAAGCCTTTTCAATGATTTAAAAGATAAACATGCAACAAGTGGAGGTGACTGTGATGAGGAATTTGTGAGTTGGAGCTGGTTCAAACAGTTCAAAGTGAGGGCAAATTTACCTAACATTAAAGGGCAAGTATGAGTTTTAAGTCGGATGTTCATAACCTAGGGACTGCCTGTAATTCTAATGTGCAGCCAGAGCTAAGAATCATTGCTCTAAAGCCGCGCTTGGTAAACTACCGTGCAGGTGAATTACCTGCAGATCCAGTTAAAATGCAGATTCTGATTCATAGGTCGTGGTGGGGCCTGAGATTCTCACTAGTGGAAGCTGTTGGTCCCGGGGCTGCACTTTGCCCTTGTAACCCATCCATTTATTCAAACATTGCATACTTACTATGGGTCCAGTGACTCGACAGTTACAGCCTTTAGCATTTACATTCTCGTTGGGGAAGACAAGCATGTAAACAACCTCAGACAGCGATAACTGCTTTGAAGTGAAGAAAGCGGGGAGTGGGGTAAGGCGCGTGTGGCTACTTTAGCTTTGTTGTTAGTAGCCGTCGAGTCAGTTCTGACTCAAGGCAACCCCAAGTGTGCACACTAGAACTGCGCTCCACAGGGTTTTCAAGGCTGTGACCGTTAGGAAGCAGATCACCAAGCCTGTCTCCCGACGTGCCTCTGGGTAGGTTGGAATTGCCAACCTTTTGGGTTAGCAGTCAAGTGCTTAACCATCTGTACCACCCAGGGACTCCGCTTTAGCTTTAAGGAGGTGAATTTTTAGCTTTTGGCTTTAAGGAGCCTACGAGGTGAAGATCCGGGGGGATCACGCTCTGAGAGGAAGAGGGACAGCAAGCACTAAGGTCTCTGAGGCAAGAACAAGCTGGCAGAGTAACGAACAGGGAGAGTGGTGCAAGATGGGATCGCAGCACGCTGATGGCCAGGTGAGTTTAGATTTTGTTCTACCTGCTACTAAAAGCCAGAGTAGGGTTTAAAGCAAGAGCATGATGTAATCTTATTTATATTAAAAGATCACTCACTGCTGATTTTCTTATAGTTTTCACAGCATCAGTGAGAAACTGTTAGGTCTTCTCCTTTCTCCCCTTTGTGATGTTTTCCCCCTCAAACCCTGAAAAGACTAAGATGGGTCTTCAGGTGTTAAGAAAAACCAAAGACTCACTTTTATAGCAGAGGAAAGCCAAACTCAGACCTTTGCATTTCAGAGGAGCTATGGGTTTCGGTGGAGACTGGTGGAGACTGTAATGTAAAACACGGAGGGCCTCAGGATCCTCCCATTCCTATGGAAGTCTTGGGTGGATGGTTTCAGTAAACTTTACCTTCCATCCTGCCAGATTCTTGCCCTTCCAAGGTTTCTCAGGCAGCAACAGGATCTTTGTGGCAAGAAATAAAGCAACAGCAGAGAATAAAGAAAGGCCCCAGAGGCCTCCTTTTTTATTGCAAGATCTGCCCAAGTTAGGGACTGCTTCTATATGGGGTCACTAAAAATCCAAGTCAGAGATCAGGACTAACAGCTATTGCAAAGGAGTGAGCCAAAATGAAAGTGCACTGATTGTTCTTTCTTGAGTTAATAGTAATAATAAAAAAGATCTTTCAGTACACTGACCCGGGAATCTGTCAAAGACATCCTGAAACACACGTGAAAGGACCGAGCTGGATCCTTAAATCAGGAAGTGGAGACAAGAAAGCACCAGGACATGGGGTGCTTTAATTACCAACCCATTTCGGAAGACAGGTTTATCCTTTTTACTCAGCCCCAGAAGCCCAACTGCTGGCTTATAGGTGACCTCATCAGGACCCAGGAAACTTAAGGGAATCCTAGGAAACATGCACACCAATGTCAACAGCAGTGACCTCTGGGAGGTAAGGCTACATAGGGGAGGGAGGGAGAAGGGCACTTACTGCTTCTTAATTCTCAAAAGTAAATCAAAATAGTAGAAAAAAAGATGCCAGGAGAATTAAGCTAGATAGTACAACTTCTTCCAAACCAGAGGAAGGCCTGTTAGTTAAGTCAGTGTTTCCCAAAGTGTGTTTTGTAGATACTACTACTCTCGTAAAATGCTTCATTAACAGAAAAGGTTCCCTGATCAGGTAAGTTTGTGAAACACAATAGCTAATGACGCCCTGGAACACACTGTGGACCATGCTCGGTTAGGGTCCGGAACAGGGAAAGGTAAGACAAAGCACAGGCTTCGGGGTCCCACACGCCTGGGTTTGAATCCTGCTCAACTTACTGACTTGAAGACCCGGACTTCTCTAAATCTCCGCTTCTCGCTTCTTCATCTGAAAAGCAGGAACACAGTCCCTTCCTTTGGCAGACTGTGCTCTAAGTGAGAAGGCGTGTAGCAATACAGCAAGCACTCCAATGCTGGTTCCCTTTCTCTGTTGCCTGTTTAGAGAGACAGCCAGAAACCTGTCTTCTCCCAGCCAACTCCTCAAGTCGCCCAGGGACCACCTGAGACACAGGGTGATGGAATTCTGCTGGCCTTGCTCACTACCACATATGTGCCCTCTGCAAATAAACGCCAAGAAAGGCCGTGAGGAACAATTTTTTCATATGCTAAAAGCAAAGTATTAGCCTATTATAATGCATAATCACACACAGGCACTAACTACAATCATCCCTCACCTCTGAATTAAACTATATAAGCTATTATATATAAACTAATGACCTGAAAGGGAGAGAAAGGGTCGGGGTGGGGCAGCACTGCAATAGTCTGGAAAGTCACAACGACCTGAGAGCTCGTCAAGGACCTGCACTGCGGATCAGGGCTGGGGAAGGTCAGGAAGCCTAACCGCTTACATGGGCCGTAAGTTACGCTCATCACAGCAAGTGAAACCTGCCCTCTGTCTTTGCTGCAAAGAAAACTCAAATCCCTCCGCCTTATACTTTTCATTTCAGCCCTGTCCTCTGTCTGTAACCTTAAGATGCGTACATTTACTCCCCATGCTCCACTGCTTACTAGCCACCCCAAGTCAGCAAAGACAACAGTCTCTGTTTAAACTAGTCATCAAAACATAAAACTGAAAGGATTAACAGTGTGATTTAATTGCAGTATATTGTATCAGCATACAAAGAATGTGTATATTTAAAAAGTAACTCTGTGTCATAAGAGACTGGAGGCAGATTCCCTCTATCCCAGCACTAAATGCAAACAAAGGGCTTTAATACAGCAAGTCAGCATTCACACAGGCTATTCCCCAGCCATTATCTAGTCACCTCTCTATCCCAACCGTCAGCTTTCTCAGTGAGCTGAAATCATAACTACTGATTCCACCAGCGGCTTACGAAAGAATGATTCCTTTAAATGAGCTAGCAAATTAATACTGTTGATGGGTCAGATCCAGGGAAGGATAATCCTGGTCCTTCTCCAGAAGTCTGTTGCTGGCTCTTAAAGATTTCACGGAAATTTGTTTTGAGGAAAATCACAACTTTATTGATTATTCTCTAAAAAGCACTTAAGCACATTTTCAGTTAGGAAGATGGCTGAGAGAGAAAGGGTAACCTCGAACCATTATCTTATCCTAAACGATCAAAATTCTGGATTGAGAATGCTATTCAGTTGTACTGCCTCTGTCAAAAGAGCCGATTCTCCGCATTCCACGTGGCCATGTGGACAGGATTCCCTGCAGCCGTTCAGAAAGCAGACTCCATATCGCCCATCTGCACGCACACAGTCTTCAGTTGTGAATAATATTCAATGGTCACACGACCATTTTCTCTGCCAAACCCTGAAAAGAAGAGAAGGGGTCAGTATGAGCCACCACTGCGACAGTCTGGGAAGTCACAATGATCTTCAAGGACAGGCACTGCTCATCAGGCTGGGAGAAACACAGAACCGAAAAATTCTGGGATGATGTCCTCAATTTATCATTAACTGTGGAGCCAGGCATGGGAAAAACGACTCAGTGGTCTTTGGGGATAGAGAAAGGGATAAGAAATATATAGGTCTCATTACTTATCAATATGAATCTTAACTTCAGGTACCTACAGTCCTAGTTTGAGGCCTGAAAAATGTTGACTTATCAAGCATTAGAGGAGTCTCTACAACATCGAACAGACACCCTTGAAAGCTGGTGCAAACTTAAAACTTAACTCTACATGAAAGGTTTATGTATTACCTACTATTGACACCCCGCCTACATGTGGGGGAGTGAGCTCTGATTACTCAGCCCAGGATACGGCCCAGTCACTAGCGGACAAGGTAACCGCATGCTTGGCCTTTCCTGTGTACCCAGTCTCAGACTCAGGTAGGCTCTGCCTCCTAACAGCAAGGCCCAGGTCCCCAAAAATGTACATTTCCAGAGGGGGCCATTCAACAGGTAGGACGCACAAGGTCCTGCAAGGCCTTGCTCTGTCTCTTGTTCCTTTACAGGTCCTCTGAAGAGCAGGCTGCTTGAACATATGAGGTCAGGTGCCGCTCTGCAGATCTGGTCATTTTTATGCCTCTCTCATCCCCTGTAGGCACGCCTATGCACACTGGTTCGAAGGTTTAGATTTGGGGAAGAGGAAGCAGGCCTAGGAGTCCCCACTAAGGCCTTGAGCCTAAGCTGCTTATTCCAAATCAACCTGTCCCCGCACTAAGGGTTATGTATTAATGGAATGGTGCCTTGGTTCCCACTACGTGTTTGTGTCTGTGTGTACAGCGCCTCTGAGTACTCCACAGGAACAAGGACGTTTAGTGAAGTATGATTAGGGAATGCCGAGATAGTACCAAACTAATCCTGTCAAATTAACACCCACAATCCCATCAGGATTCATCGGGGTTTATATGTTTGCCAACAAACACTGTGTTGGACGTAAATATTTGCTGAAGAGACTAGGAGGTGAGACTCTTATAACGGTGCCTCTAGAAAGTCCAAGCCAATCTGCAGTCTACATAAAGAAGGGCATGGGGAATTAATGTATAATACAGGCAACAAACTCCAAAGAAAGAACCTTGGGGTGATAACTCTATTTCAGATGTCTCAAGCCTGTTCCTGCAACACCAACTTATAAATCTGCCATGTTATAGTAACATGTCTGACTGATTATTGATAAATGAGATGAATGTGCAGTGGCAAGGAGAAAACTTTCCTATATGTCATCAAGTGTAACAAGAATGACAATTATTGGTGTAAAATGTTAGATCAGGGGACTTTTATTAGTTCAGCGTAACAGAGAAAACAAATTAATATAACCTTTCTGAGATACCACTTTAGAGACACTTTACCTGAGCTGAATCTGAAAACTCACAGTGGATTATGATGCAGTATCTAGAACAGTAGTTTTATGTTTACAGTGATCACAGGCTGCGAAGAAAAAAGTAACTCTACCACTAGATAAGCTTTTCTGAGATGTATGTAGCAGTTGACAAGCCATCTAACCCTTCTGGAGAGCTTTTGGGAGAGAAAAAAAAGATGCTTGGCTTTCATTTCCAGAAATTGATGTGGTGGGTCTGGGGAAGACCAAGAATCTATATATTCTTACATATATAATATATAATAAAATATATTACATGTAATATATAATATATATAAGCTATATATATCTGTACATATTTCTATATATTCTAATCCAGAGACAGGTATGGAAGACTGGTCTATAATGACTGAACTATGACTAGTATCCCTAGAGACCTGGATTTGCTTTGACACTTCTCAGATTCTCTGGGTCCTCACCTGACTTCTTATATCCACCAAAGGGCAACTCCACTGGGCTGACATTATAGTTGTTAATGAAGCACATTCCAGCCTGAAGCTCAGCCACCACGCGATGAGCCCGCTGGATGTCCCTACAAAGTAAAATGGAAGTGCTGGTTATTCACAGTGCTTATGCTACAACTTTCACAGGAAAAGTCAGACTGCCAGCTTCAAGGGTCCCAAAATCCTGCAAAACTCTTTTTCCTTCAAAATGCATTTTAAAATCTTTTATCATCCAGGCAAACAGACATGGATTTGGGTTTTAGAGTCTCATCCAAAAGGCATCTATAAAATAAGCAGCATCAACAAGGGTGCCAAAACAATTCAATAAGAAAGGCATATAGTCTTTTCAACGAACTGTGCTCATATCCAGATGCAAAAGAGTGATGTTGGACCATACACCAATATTACTCAAATGGATCACAGATCTAAAATGTAAGAGCTAAAACTATAACAACCTTCAGAGAAAACAGAGTACATCTTGGTGACCTTGGGCTAGCCAATGCCTTCTTAGATTTAACACCAAAAGCGTAACAGACAAGAGAAAAACAGAATAATTGGACTTCCTCAAAATTAAAAACTTCTGTGCTGCAAACCAGGCCATTAAGTAAGTGAAAAGACAACCCACAGACCACGATGAGATACCACTTCACACCCAGTCCAACCTGCTGCCATCAGATCGATTCCAGCTCATACAGACCTTACAGGACAGAGTAGAACTGCCCCCGCTGGGTTTCCAAGGCTGTAAACCTTTACAGAAGCAGACTGCCACATCTTCCTCCCGTGGAGCCACTGGTGGGTTTGAACTGTTGACCTTTCGGTTAGCAGCCGAGCACTTAACCACTGTGCCTCCATGGCTCCTTTCACACCCAGAAGGATGGCTAAATTGAAAAATACAGAATGTAACAACTGTTGTGGAGGATATGGAGAAACTGGAACTCTCATACATGGTTGGTAGGAGGAACGTAAAATGGCGCAAACACTGACAAACAGTTTGGCAGTTCACCGAAAAGTTAAACAGAGAATTATGTAATTTCTCACCTAAGTATATACCCAAGAGAACTGAACACATACACATATCTACACAAAGACTTGTACACAAATGTTCACAGCAAAATTATTCATAATCACCAAGAAGTAGAAACAACTCAAACGTCTGTCAACAAATGAATAAGTGAACAAAATGTGGTATATCCACACAACGGGATATTATTCCTAATAAGGAATAAAGCACTGATACATGCTACATATGGATGAACCTTGAAAACATTATGCTAAGTGAAAGAAGCCAGTCACAAAAGACCACACATTGTATGACTGGCCCTGGTAGCGCAGTGGTTAACAGCTCGACTGCTAACCAGACGGTTTGCAGTTCGAATCCACCAGCTGCTCTTTGGAAACCCTCTGGGGCACTTCTACTCTGTCCTGTAGGGTCGTTATGAGTAGCAATCAACTCAACAGCAATGAGTATAAAGTGTTTAGAAGAGTCAAATCCACGAAACAGAAAGTAGATTAGTGGTTGCCAAGGCTGGGGAGACGGGAAAATGAGGAGTGACTGCTAACAGGCATAGGGTTTCTCTTGAAATGTTCTAAAATCAGATTATGGCAGTGGTTGTACAACTATGTGAATATACTAAAAAACACTGAACTGTAGACTTTAAATGGGTGAACCGTGTAGTATGTGAATTATTCCAATAAAGCTGTTAAGAAAAAAAGGTGCAGCAGATCTGAGTTGCCCTCCTTTGAAACTGGACTTGGTACTGGGATGGCAAAGCAAAGCAAGAGCACAGACTTAACCTACTCAATCCCCAATCAAAAAAGCAGCTCCTCAATCTTTGACTCAGCTCAAAGAAAAGCTACTGCATCAGGTCCTCAAGGGAGATCTGGGCCTTCCTTCCCAGGTCCTGACCACAAGCTACAGAAAATTTAATCTGTGCATCATTAAAGAAATGGCATAATCCCCAGGGGAAAGCAGCCTTAGAAAACTGCCTGCTCTTGCCAAAGACTAACCTAAGTTTGTACATAACCAAGCAAGCTGCAAGTGTTTCAAAGAAATTTTGCTCCCCAATCACTTACTTTTATTACAGCAGTTCCAATTATGTACTAAGAAATTAATCACAATATTACTTACAATAGGTAAAACTGGAAACAATACCCTAAATATTCAACAATAGAAAAAATGCCCATATGAGTTACAGTGCATTCCAATTAGAAACAATTAAGTTATAAAGTCACTAAAAATCATGTGTTCCCCCAGACAGAGCTGGAGAAAAATGTAGAACAAAATTCTAACACAAAAAAAGACCAGACTTACTGGCCTGACAGAGTCTGGAGAAACCCCAAGAGTACGGCCCCGGGACACCCTTTTAGCTCAGAAATGAAGTTTCTCCTGAGGTTCACCCTTCAGCCAAAGATTAGACAGGCCCATAAAACAAAACGAGACTAAAGGGGTTTGCCAGCCCAGGGGCAAGGACTAGAAGACAGGAGGGGACAGGAAAGCTGGTAATAGGGAACCCAAGGTCGAGAAGGGACAGTGTTGACATGTTGTGGGGTTGGTAACCAATGCCACAAAACAATATGTGTACCGTTTAATGAGAAGCTAGTTTGTTCTGCAAACCATCATCTAAAGGACAATTAAAAAAAAAAGAAAAAGATGTTTTTGAAGACTATTGCCCAGGCTTATATGGTTACAGGTCTCTAAATTCCTTGACATGTAAGTTTTCAGGAGGCACCTAATCCAATGCTTTACACAGATCAGAATGTTAAATGTTCATTCAGTGAATTAATGACAAGGATAGAATGTTCATTAGCAAAGTTCATAGCTCAATTTAAACTCACTACAGCAAGGTTCTCTGACCATTCAGGACAAACTACAACATGCTGCTTGGCACCTTGATTTAACCTGAAGCAAACAGGAAATGCTGACGGCTAATATAAATTCCAGGAAGGGAATAAGATCACTGAGATATCTCAGCCGATCCTGCAGTGACACTCCTCCAGAGCTGCTTTAGCTGCCCTCCCCCACACACCTGGTGAAAACGCCAGCTGCGAGTCCAAAAGTGGTATCATTGGCTCTTTGCAGAACCTCAGCTTCAGTGTCAAACGATAAAATGGACATAACGGGCCCAAAGATCTCTTCTTTCACACAGGTCATGTCATCTCTGCAATTAGCTGCAAACGTTACAATAAAACCAAGTTTCAGTGAAGGGATTATTATTCCTGGCCCTTGAAAATGTGTTTTCTTACTGATCCCAGTAAACAGTGAATACACACAGCTGAAAAAACTCAGCAGGACATGGCCAGCTTGAATATAAATTGGAACATCCTTTCTGCATAACAATTTAATAATGCAGATTAGAGTCGTAGCCTTTGAGTCTATAATTCTAAATCTACTTTTTTTTAATTCATCATAAGGGAACAGCTAATGAGACACACAAAGGATTCAAGGATATTCATCGTATTACTTATAATAGTGAAAACCGGAAGCAGCAAACTAAACATCCAAAATAGAGGACATGATCATATGAACTATACTCATCCTAGTGATGAACTTCTATGAAGCTTCTAAATATGTTTTATAAGAATATTTAATGAATAAATGCTCATGATAAAATGTCCACCGAAAAAGACACAAACTGTACACAATATCAACCCAATTTTCTGTTAAAATGTTATATATATAACTAGTATGTTTTCTTTATATTTTCTAACACATTTTCCAAATTTTCTTAATGACTCTGTGGTATGATTAGAATTAGAAACAATTTTATAAAAAAGAAATTCCAATATAAAACATAAACTTAGAAATAAATGAGGGGGGGCATTCACTTTATACAAAAACATAACTGAGTTCCTTCAAATGGCTAATTCCCTAAAATGATTCAGTTCACACTTGATATTTTTAAATATGCATTTCAAAGCAGCTCATCTATTTAGATGTCCAATACTGTACCGTAGTGATTCTCAAAGGGAGGGGAGCATTTATCTGCACTGTACCTGCAGGACGTCCTGTTTCAATGTTGGCCATCATGGCATGTAGTGAGAAATGTTGGATTGAGGGTGTGATACACATGTAAACAATGTGGGGGCAGACACAGCTTGAGAACCCTGCTATACACACCAGCAGCCAGAGTGTCTAAAAACTAACAATTCACGTATCTACAAAGATGAGGATTCTAAAATCTCGAGAGATGGATTAGAGTCTGTGTATACAAAGGAAGACTAGCATACTGGTCACCTACTAGTTACAAGGCACTTTAGGGACACCTACACTATCTTCAAAGACAGGGTAAGTATTTAGTTTATGTTTAAGGATAGTTTATTATATTCTAGTTCTTTGAAAAGTACTAATCCACATATAATTTTTAGGGAAACCATTAATTAGAATATTCAATTACTCAATACAATTCATTATACCTAATAGTTCCAGAAAACATTTTATCTTATGTAGGCTGAAAATACAACATGGCTGTGTGTGCAGTGAGATCTATGTTGGAAAGACAAAAGAGACTAGGGCATACAGTGGCAGCTGACATACAAGAAAAGGCAGGCTCCTGACTGAAACACGACACCCAATACATGTTAGTGCCCTAATCTTACATAAACAACTTAAGGATCTAGACTCTGGTGTCATCCCCAAACTTTAATGTACATAAAAATGAATTCGGGGCTTATTAACATGCAGATCTCTAGGCCCCGCCCCTGAGGGTTCCCTTCAGGGATCTAGGGCAGAAACCAGGAATCTGCCTTTTTTTAACAAGTTTTCCAAGTGATTTTGAGGCAGTGGACCACAAAGCAGGCTTTGAGAATCACTAGAATAAGGGTAGTTAGCTCCCTGTTATTTGCCTAGGTTCATAGCTTTTTATAAAATAACTGTTTTTCTAATTGTAAAATGCACGTTCTCTGAAAAAACATGTGTAATACTCAGAAATGCACGAAGAATAATAAAAATCTCCTTTAATCCCAGCATCCAGAGAAAACCACTACCAGTATTATAATATATATTCCATTCCTTTTTGCTATGCATATATGTGGTTTTTGATAGATTTATGGATAAAAACATACTATTGTGTAACCTATTTATTTCAGTTAACAATAATTGTAGGCTTTTCCTATAAATTAAATACTCACTGAATAAATGCAAGCTAATCCACAGTATGCAGCTTTTAAACATGAGTGGATCTTTCTTTAGCAAGGGTTAAAGATTAAACTGCATCAAATATCAAGTATTGAAAACTGGCATCACTATCAACCTTAGGCACAAAAACCAGTTTACTCTATTTTCAAAATAAGATATAAAGAATTACACAGCATGATTTAATCCACACACAGTTTTTTTAAAGCCTGTAAAACTAACTATTTTTATAGGGATTACTGACATACATTGTAAAATGACAGGAAATAAGTATGAAAGTGATTAAAAACATTTGTATAGTGGTTACCTTGGACACAGAAAGGAAATGCATGAGTTTGGATAGAGCAGGAAGACCGTATACTTTATTGCTCAAACTGGGAGGTTTTTTAAGACTGAAAAGAGATGCTAAAAATCACAAAGTCGTATTTTTTTTAAGTATTAATATATTATCTGGCAAATTTGTTTTATTTATGGACCTATAGTCAAATGAAATAGATACGAAATACACATTTTTCATCAACTTTCTTAAGAAATGAAATACATTACTCTTTTATAAAAATGCACTTTCAATTTTTTGAGCTGCCAGCTTCCAGAGCAACGGGGGTACACTCAAAAAGTCCCAGGCAAACTAACACACATGGCCACCCTAGAGGAGGGCACACAGCCGTCTTGAAAGGTAACGGAGTACTTCTACTTCTTAAACCTAGCTGCTGGGGACGCAGTGTGGGGCACCCCACACATAATTTATAAATACTCTTTTGTATCCATTCACTAGTTAATTCAAACGCTTTCAAAGCAAACAAGAAGAGGACATACTTAATACACAAGGTCGCATGTAATATCCACCCTTTAATTTGGGGTCTTCAGGTTCATAGAGGTCTCCCCCACATAACACTTTCGCACCCTATCAAAAAAGATAAAATGATGCATATTTTATGTTAAACATACAACCCCAATATGCATTCCTGAAATGTTAAGTGTATCCTAAACAAATGCACACTTAGTCACCTCTTTGTGAGTACAAAGCACAACACTGCTCAGGATACTAACAGTCATGAATATTAACATGTGAAAAGTGAACACAGCCAGTAACTGAGGAGTGACATAACCCCCTTCCTCAGCCCACCCCACCCACACTTGTTTCTCACCTGCTCCTCTGCCAGTTTAACAAACCCAAGAACTCGCTCCAAGTGTGGTCGGTTGATGAGGGGGCCCATCCTCGTATCTTCTAGAAGAGGATCTCCAATTTTTATCTTTTGGGTCTGTTTTACCACTTCCTCTGTAAATTTATCAAGAATTTCCTTTTGGACAAATACCCTTGTGCCATTACAGCAAACCTAAAGGACAGACACAGACATAAACTTATACATGTGTACATGTAAGAGGAAAAACTGGAGCCCTAGTGGAGCAGTGTTTAAGTGCTTGGCTGCTACCAGGAAGGTTGGTGGTTCCAACCCACCAGGTGCTTAATGGGAGAAAAGACCTGGTGATCTGCTCCCATAAAGATTACAGCCTAGGAAACGCTACAGGGCAGTTCTACTCTGTCACGTGGGGTCGCTATGAGTCAAAATCAACTCGACGGCAATGGGTTAAAAGGAAAAATGGAAAAGGAAAAAAAATTCAACAGCTCTAAACTTAAAAGAAACGCTACATTTTTTTAAAAGGATGTTTCTATTCCTAAAAATTGTCCCATACTGAATAGGGCCACACAAGCAATTGGGGGACATACCACCCCACAGCACAAACTGTGCTTTCAGATAAAACTTACATCTTATTTATTTAGATTTTTTTAAGGCGATTAATAGATCCATACGACCAACAGTATCCTGTCACTTGCTCAATCTGGCTGTATTTTAAGAGCGGAGGTGAGAGTGGGAAGGGACTGAAAAACAAAAGTAGATTAAGAATGGAAGACTTGAACCTAATAAAAAACTGAGCATTTCACAGTCAATGTTTGGCTCTAAAATCACAAGCAATGGCTATTCAGACTCTCCCAGAAATGAGCACAAGCACTGTTCAAATGGTGTCAGAGCAGCAGAATGGAAATTCAAGTCCAAAAATAGATCCAAGTGCTTATGGAAATTTAGTTCATAATAAAGGTGGAATCTTAAGCCACTGGGACAAACATGGACTAAATAAATGGTTAGCCATTTGGAAAAGAGAAAATAAGATACATATCTCACACTATACACAAGAATAAATTCTAGGAATCTAAATAAAGAACAGGAAACCATGCAGATGAACTCCTCCAGGCGTAGAAAAGGTTTTCTAACAGTACTCAAAATCTAGATGAAATGAAAGGAAAAAAAATGATAAATTTGACTATATAAAAATAAGTATCTTTTGCATGGTAAAAAAAAAAAAAAAAAAAAACCACTAAACAAAGCCAAGGCAACTGACAAACTGGAAAAAAATACTTGCAATATACATCACAGATAAAGGGCTAATATCATTAATGTTTAAAGACCTGTAAAAACTGAGGGTAAATCAAAACTCACAGGACAATACACCAAAAAGAGTGAACTTTACTATATCTGAGTATGAAAAAAAAGAAAACTGTAAAAAATTGGAGGAAAAAGACCAAAAGTCCAATAGAAAAATGTATAAAAGTTATTAACAGACAATTCACACACACACATACATACACATACACACACATACATTCCTTATTCCTTAAACCTAGAAAAGATGTTCAACCCCACTCATAACTAGAGAACTGAATTTAAAACTGCACTGAAATGTCATTTCTTACCTACGTAGTGAAAATCAGAAATGATGACAACACATTCTGTTGGAGAGGCTATAGGGAAATAGGCACTCCTACACCTGTTGGTAGGATACAAATCGGTCCAACCCTTTTGGACAATCTGGCAATATCTTAAAAAAATAGGTATGTGTTGACCACTTCTGGGAATTGACCCTGAAAACGTATCTCCAGCAATACGAAAATACACAAGCGTGAAGTTATTCATTGCAGCACTGTTTATAATCACAGATTACTGGAAACAACCTAAATGCCCATGTAAGGGAGAGGAGCAGTTGGATAACTATAGTAGCCACACGATGCATCTGTAAAAAAAGAATGAACGAGATCTCTATGAAATTCAATGGAGTAATTTCCAGGATATATCAAGTGAAGACAGCAAAGTACAAAAGAGTACCTAACTATAATGTGCTATCTTTTGTGTAAAAAAGGGGAAAAGAGAAATATACAGTACTTGTTCATTTGTGCAAAAAATAAAAACAGGAAGGAAAAACCAGAAACAAATTAGACTTGCTACCTACAGAGGGCAGATAGAAATGGGGTGAAAAAAAGAGGGGAACGGAAACAGGGTAGAAGACATGGGGCAGAGTGACACTTCTCTCAGTGTACCACTGTTGTAAAATTCTGACATTTACAACCATGTTAGTGTTTCACCTAAATCTTTAAAATCAACAAGGATGGGGGGAAATAAATCCCAAATGAAGCCTGTATTGTTTGTACAGAAACAAACAAACCTGTTATTTAAAATAAATAACATAACCAAATTGAAGGGGGAGGGAAGCCTGACCCAAGTAAATTTTGAACTCAGTAATCTGACGAGCCCTCAGGCTAAAGAAAAAAAAAATTTTTTTGAACTCAAGTTAGGTTTATTTTTCACAAATCTAGAAATACTATTATTCTAGGACTGAGCAGTTAAATAAATACATTGGGCATAATGAAGCTCAATTTCTCACAAATATGTGAAGTGAGAAGGTTAAAATGAACCCTGTAGTATTGGACAGTAATTGGAGATTATCTGTATGAACTGTGGTTATGAATACATAGAGAAATAGATATGCATATAAGTGTACATGTACACACACATACAAACATATTTCCTAGCTCTGGCCTCTGAGAGTGCCTAGAAGCAATGATACCCCAGTAGCAATGGGCTCACCTGGCACCCAAGATCTTGGTTTCTAAATACCATCTCCCACTAAATGGAACCTGGGCTCCTTGGATAAACGGGTGATTCCAGAGCTCAGCCAGGGAAAATACAAGATGAGCCTGAAACACCTTGCTGTGCCAGAAAGTAAAGAAGTGATCAAAGAATAATGACAGCACATGAAAAGGTCACAGGAAGGGGCTCCCACTGGCCAAATAAATCTGCAATTATTTGAGCATCAAAATAAATAATGAGAGTAGTCAATTATAACTCATTGAATGAAATAAGAATCCATAGTTCCATACTAACATAAATAAATGATTTTTTTTTTTAAATAAGTAAGGGAGAAGAAAAAGTTCTTTCTTTCAGTAGAAGGAGAACTAATAAATGTTGAAAGAATGATAGAACAGGAAAATCACCATTTGGTGACCTCCATAAAAAAAATTATTTCCAGCAAGAATCGTCAATGGATGCTAACACTAGGGGCTAAATGTTTTATGAAGAATAGGATAGTCTCAAAATATCTCCTACAAGATACTTATCAACTACAAAGGAAACAGCAGTAACTTTACATGGAGACCCACCTTCAGCCCGTGATCACGGTTAACATCACAGGAAACAGGAGACACACTACATGCCACAGAGAGAGACACAACACCACTTCTGTGGTACTTTTTGCCAAAAATAAATAACCTGAATCTAACCAAAGTGAAACCTCAGAAAGACCCAAAATGAGGAACCTGTTACAAAATAAATGGCCTCTACTCTTCAAAAATGTCGATCCTTAAAGATACGAACGACTGGAGAACTGTTCCAGAATAAAGGAGACTAGGGAGACAGGACAACCAAACGCAGCTCAGCGTCCTGGATTGGATCCTGTATGGGAGGGAGGGGGGCTGTGTGTTAATTGTTTTCTTTTGCTAAAAGGATATCGGAATAAGGGCTGTAGACTGAGTAATAGTACTATGGTACTATGTTAATGTTAGCTTACTGATTTTACTAATTATGGTGCTTATGTAAGAGAATAAACTTATTTTTAGAAAATACATACTGAAGTATTTAGTGGTTAGGGGCCTTAGGTCTGCCACTTACTCTGAAATAGTTCAGAAAATAAATTAATAATATGCATGTGTATCTAGAGCCAGATAAAGAGAATTAAAAAAGTGTGGTTGTTATGGACTCAATTGTGTCCCCCAAAAATATGTGATGTAAATCCTAACCTCTATGCCTGTAGTTATAATCCCATTTGGGAATGGGTTGTCTTTGTTATGTGAATCAGGATTAGTGTAGGGTGTATCTTGAGTCAATCTCTTTTGAGATATAAAAGAGATTAAACAAGCAAGCAAGCTAGCAGAGATGGGGGAAGATAGATGCCAAGACACATGGAGATCTCCAAGCTACCAGGAAACAGTAGCTGAAGAGACAAGGACCTTCCCCCAGAGCCAACAGAGAGAGAAAGCATTCCTTTAGCGCTGGTGCCCTGAATTCGGACTTCTAGCCTCCTAAACTGTGAGAAAATAAACTTCTGTTTGTTAAATCCACCCACTTGTGGTATTTCTGTTACAGGAGCATCAGATAACTAAGACAGTGGTAAAATGTTAACATTTGGGGAATCTGAATCAGAGGTACATAGCAATTATCTGTACTATTTGTGCAACTTTTCTATAAGTTTGAAATTATTAAAAAAGAAAGAACAAAAATTTTAAAGTGTGGTGTTAGATGGAAGGAGCCCTGGTGGGGCAGTGGTTAAGAGTTCGGCTGCTAACCAAAAGGTCGGCAGTTCGAATCCACCAGCTGCTCCTTGGAAACTCTATGGGGGCAATTCTACTCTGTCCTACAGGGTCACGATGAGTCAGAATCGACATAATGACAATGGATTTGGTTCTTTGGGGGGTTAGATAGGAAGGGGTGGAGATTCCTTTTAAACCTTTCCCAAAGACAGATACCTACCTCACCTTGCGTGAGGAAGTTGGCCATCAGTGCCCCCTTCACAGCATTCTCCATGACACAATCTGAGAAGATGATGAGTGGAGATTTGCCTCCAAGTTCCAAGGTAACAGGCTTGATTCCTTTAGCTGCCATCTCCATGATCTTACAGAGTAAGAAAAGAATTCAGAAGAAGTTTAACAAGAATTAGATTACATGCTAGTTTAACTAGACTCAGAACCTATAAATTCATCTTGAACTGTGTAAAGCCTGCAGCCTTATTCTTGTCAATATGCTTTACCCTTCATCCATTTAAAATGCCCTTTCCCACAAAGCGAAAAAAATCCACAGAACTGCACTCGACATTCTGAAAATGGAGTTCGTTTTAAAAATATCGTCAATTCAGATGACTATCACAGGGGGAAACTCTTATATTATTGTTACTGTGTTTAAAGCTGACAGAACTCAAAGTACAAATAAGGGTCAAAATAATGAATCTTAAATAAATGGAGAAAATACCCTTCCTTCTGGAGGCGCTGCTATATTTGAGTTAAGTCACCAAACGATACAGGCCCCTTGCCCTCTCAAATGCATAGGCAGGAAATGATGACTTCCATCCCTACTTGGCCTAACACAAATCCCCTGTTCTCAACATCCCAAATATGCTCCCTTTACCCCTCTTCAAGTAAACTTCAGATTTTTGCCCAATAATACCTACTGCCCCCTCCCAACGCATGCTGAGCTAGCTAAAATCAGAAGACAAGCCTCCAAAATATACTCTGGGAAGGACTGACTCTGCCCTACCTAGATAGCCATTTATGGTAACCAATACTGGTTTTATTTTCACCTTTGTGCCAGTGGGCACACTTCCAGTGAAGGAGACTTTGGCCACATCAGGATGCTGGCACAGAAACTGGCCTGTGGCAGCCCCTCCTTGCACCACACTGAAGAGCCCAGAAGGCACACCAGCCTCAGTATAGATTTCAGCCAGCAGCAATGCCGAAACAGGCGTGAAGGGAGACGGTTTAAAGATCATGGCGTTACCTGCATAAGCACAAGACGCAAACACAAAAAGACTTTTTAAGAGTGTGATCCTTCAAGGACAGGACTAGAGGATAATCAAGAAGGACTCCATTTGCTTCCTGCTCCCGCCTGAAATCCTCAACTAAGAATGTTATCAATAAGTAAACACATCTTATTTTTCTCATCTTGGCTTCTCTCATTAAACAGATCCCAAACCACACTGTCTTAGTTATCTAGTGCTGTTATAACAGAAATACCACAAGTGGATGGCTTGAACAAACAAATTATTTTCTCAAAGTTTAGGAGGCTGGAAGTCCGAATTCAGGGCACTGGCTCCAAGGGAAGGTTCTCTCTCTCTGTCGGCTCTGGGGGAAGGGCCTTGTCTCTTCAGCTTCTGTTTCCTGGTTCCTTGAAGATCTCCATGTATTTTGGCATCTATCTTACCCCCCCTTTCACGTCTCAAAAGAGACTGACTCAAGGCACACCCTACACTAATCCTGCCTCATTTACATAACAAAGACAACCCATTCCCAAACGGGATTATACCACAGGCAGAGAGGTTAGGATATATTTGGGGGGGACATAAATTAATCCATAACATTCTACCCTTTGGACCACAAAATTCATGTCCTTGCCCCATCCCATCATCCCAGAAGTCTTCAATCCACTCCAAGTCCAGAATCTCATCTTCTGAATCATCTAAATCCAATATGGGTGAGACTTCAGGCGTATTCCATCCTGGGGCAAAATTCCTCTTCATCTGGGAACCTAGGAAATCTACACTACAAGTTATCTGTTTCCAAAGTTCAACAAGGTAGGCATTTCCATTACAAATGGGAGAAACTAGAGGGAAAGAAGGGATAACAGGCACCAAGCAACCTCCAAAACCCAGCACAATTTACATTAGCTCTCAGGGCTTGAAAATAATCCTCTGTTCTTTGGGACCACCTGGGCAACAGCCCTGCCCTCTGGGTGTTGGCTACACTCTCTGGATTCTGGGTGGAGACTCCTCCGCCCTAGGCTTCAGCTCTGCTTTCCAGGTCCACTGGGACAGCAACTCTGCTCCCTCAGATTTGGGCAGCCCCATTCTCCTAGTGCATCTGAGTGGTGGTCCCACCCTCTTGGCCCCGGCAGGCCCCCTTCTTTTACCTCTCAGGCATGGCAGCCCTGCCCCTTTGCTTTGGGTGGCAGTCCTATCCCCCAGCACAACTCAACAGCAGCCCCACACTCTCAGAGCTGAGCTGGCAGAGATCCAACTCTTTGAAACCTAGGAGGCTGTGGCCTCACCCTTTGAAACTGAGAAGGCCCTGCTTTCCTGTGCTCCTTCCAATAGTTCTGCTGATCTCCGAGCTGCTCTAGGGATGGTCCTTTTCTTTTCCTGGAGGACGACAGATGTAGCTCCTTTGGCCTGTTTCCTGCCTGTAGAATTCCTAGAGGCAGATACCATTCTTTCTTTTGTTCTTTCTCTGTCCCCTTCAGTCTAAGCTGATGGGCCTTCTGCTGTGGTAGTTGGTTAGCTCCCTCAGTCACAGGCTTAGTCTCTTTAACAAAAGATTGCGCAGCCACGTCCTTGGTGAACATTTTAGGACATGTGTCCTTAGCTTGTACAACAGTACTTCCCAACAAATCTTTCAGTTCTATTTTCATTTCACTTTGCACTGTTAATTTTTAAGTCCACCTCTTCCCTTTCACATCTCTGTGTGGCAAGGAGAAACTATGCAGTCCCTTTAAGACCTTGCTTAGAAATCTCATCAGCCAGATATCCAAGTTCATCACTTACAAGTTCTATCTTCCACCAAACATCTGAACATAATTCGGACAAGTTCCTTGCCACTGCATAAAAAGTATTGCCCTTCCTCCACTGTCCAATCACATGTTCATCATTTTCTTTTATAGCCTCACCAGAAGCACATTTAATGTCCATAATTCTACCAACAGTCTATTCAAGGCAATCTAGGCATTTTCAATTAGGCAGCCTCTAAACCAATTACCCAATTCCAAAACCGCTTCCACATTTTACGTATCTGTTAGAGAGCAACCCTCTGCTGGTCTCAAATTCTGTCGTATGTTATCTAGTGCTGCTGTAGTGGAAAGCACACAAGTGAATGGCTTTAACAAACAGAAATTATTTTCTATCAGTTTAGGAGGTTAGACGTCTGAATTCAGGGTGCTGGCTTTAAGGAAGGCTTTCTCTCTCTGTCAGATCTAGAGGAAGGTCCTTTTCTCTTCAGCTTGTTTCCTGGTCCCTTGGAGATCTCCATGTGGCTTGGCATCAATCTTCCCCCATCTCTGCTTGCTTGCTGGATTGTTTAATCTCTTTTACATCTCAAAAGAGATTGACTCAAGATCTATCCTACAGGAATCCTGCCTCATTAACATAACAAAGAACTCATTCCCAGATGAGTTTATAACCACAGGCATAGAGGTTAGGATTTATTTTTGGGAGACATAATTCAATCCGTAACACACAAATTTGCCCAGTCTCAACAATAATACCTTACATTTGCACATCTAGGCCTTTTCACATATATTATCTTATACTTGCAACAGCAGGATGAAGCAGGTGTGATTAGTCCCATTTATAAAAGTTGAAAATGAAGACCAAAACCCACTGCTGTGGAGTCGATTCTGACTCATAGTGACCCTATAGGACAGAGTAGAACTGCCCCACAGGGTTTCCAAGGAGCAGCTGGTGGATTCAAACCGCCAACCTTCTGGTTAGCAGCCAAGCTCTTAACTACTGCACCACCAGGGCTGATGAGAGTCTCAAAAGCTAATGATTTAATTCTGACATTATTTCTACTCTATCACAGCTGCCTCTCACAAAGGAATATGCTAAAACAAGATCACAAAGTGGCAACAAGACAAATGCTGTATTTCAATACCATGTGCTAACAGTAATGCTTTTTTAGCAGTATAGTTTTTTCTAAGACACAGCTTCTTTTCCCACAGATTCTTTTTAAATAGTATGAGAAAACTGTTTTTAAGTCACTCAAGCCACAGCTCCTCTGATGGATGCCTTGTTTAACATTTCGCCTAAGACACAAATGAAGGAGGAAGTTTATCTTCTGCTTCCTAAATTTAGTCAAACTCTTAAGGGCTATTTGTATTCAGTACACAGAAATTCTTGGTCTAGGAAGAAAGAGAACTTACTAGTCACACAGATCTAATTCAATCTGACAGTAAAAATAAGGCATCCAATTCTAAAATAAACTTCCTTCTTTTCCAACTACAAGAAAAAACAGATACATAAAAATGGGAATAGTATAGACATGATCTGTGTGTAACCTAAACTGTACGCTCCTTAAGGTACAAGGCAGGGCAGGAATGGAAACATGTCCTCTGAATCTCTGGATATCCCAGAACAGGTCCCTTCTGATCCGAAGTATGTGTGTGTATGGAGAGGTGAGGGGTGAAGAATGGAAAGAACAGGTGGCTCGTAAGTGGGGAATAATTCACTCTTACCACAAGCTAAGGCTGGAGCAGACTTCCAACAGGCAATCTGAAAAGGGTAGTTCCATGCTCCTATTCCCACACATACTCCAAGGGGTTCTCTTCTGGTGTAACCAAAGGATCCCCCTGAGAGCAGGATATGTTCACCTAAGTGGAAAAGCAGAGTGTAAAGGAATTCAGTTCTGTTTTCCCGAATTTCCCCAACACCTATACCTACTGTGTACTCCAGTTACAGCAGCCTCCTCACTGTTCCCAATATACCGTGCTCACCCATTTCCATTCTATTATTCATTCCAGTCATTTTACACTAGCCTCCCCATTGTCTCTTCATAGAGAATTCTATCTATCCTTCAAACCCATGTTCACTCACCTTAATTTGATTCTCTGAAAACTTACTGAGGTTCTATTAGATAACTTAGATGAAGCGGACAAATGAAAGAGAAAAACTATCAAAACCAACTCAAAAAGAAATAGAAAATCTAAATAGACCTACAACAAGTAAAGGATTAAATTAATAATCAAAAACTTCCTGCAAAAAACAGCCCAGATGGCCGCACCGGTGAATTCTACCAAACATTTAAAGACGAATTAACACCAAACCCTTCTCAAACTCTTCCAAAAAAATGTAAGAGGAGGGAATACTTTCTAACTCATTCTACGAGGCCAGCATTACCCTAATACCAGATCCAGACAAAAGACATGACAAGAAAACTGCAACCAGTTATCTCTTATGAATATCACTGTAAAAATCCTTAACAAAATACTAGCAAACCAGAAGCATATTAAAAGGATTATTACACACCACAAGTGGGATCTATCCCAGGAATGAAAGATTGAGTTTAAAAACCAAAAATCAATGAATGTAATAGTCCCTACCAACAGACTAAAAAACAAAGACTACATGATCATCTTAACAGACGGAAAAAAAGTATTTGATGAAATCCAACACCCTTTCATGATAAAAACACTCAGTGTCATAGTAATCTAGTGCTGCCATAACAGAAACACCACAAGTGGATGGTTTTAACGAAGAGAAGTTTATCTCCTCACAGTCAAAGTAGGCTAAAAGTCCAAATTCAGGGCATCAACTCCAGGGGAAGGCTTTTTCTCTCTGTTGGCCTTCTCATCAGTGTTCCCCTGGACTAGGAGCTTCCTGGCGCAGGGACCCCTGTCCAAAGGATGCGCTCTGCTCCCGGCACTGCTTTCTTGATGGTATGAGGTCCCCCAGTCTC